TTTCCCTTTGTTTTTTCCTTTTCCCTGCGTTCCTTCCTTGTCTTTCGACTTTCCTTTTCCTTTCTCTTTTCCCCATGACTGCCATCCACCCTTGGATTTGACGTCCAAGGCTGCTTCTCGCTGGGCCAGCTGCAGCTCTGCACGGCTGGCCACCCCAGCATCCACGTTGGGGATAATTTCCAGCTTCTGGCTGGTTGCCCAGCCTTGCCCCTGCAGTGTCAACTCCAGGGCTTTCACTCTTTGAAGCACTATATCGGTAGCTTCTGCTACCCTTCCCATCAATAGGTAGTCCGCCACGGTCACTAACGTCTCTATCTCCCTCTTCATCCCTCCGCTGGATTTCGGGAGCAAATGGTGCCGGGCATATTGCGTGGCCACCGGCGGAAGAGAGCTCTCTTCCAGATGCCACGGGTCGCCAGTGCTCTGCATGACATATGTTTTCATGGTCTGAATTGCCGCCGCTCCCAACACCCCGGGAGCGAGATCCGCTACTTTCTGGATCTTTGACCGATCTTGCAGTAAATCCTCGTCCATGGTGGTCTCCTCCATGGTCTCCGATGAACTGCTGTCCGAAGAGCTGGTATCCTTGGACTTCTTCAGCTTCCTCTTGATATGGGCAACCAGCTTTCTCCTTTGCTTCACATCGGGGTCCAGCCCGGTGTATTCGAAAAGCGTTTTCAGCGTTTTCCGGGCATTGCTCTTCCCACCTAATTTCTTCTTGTCTCTCTTCTCTTTTGCCTTTTTCTTCTTTTTCTTTTTCTTCTTGCCGGACTCTGAAGTGTCGGAGATCTCTTCGCCGGGAGCCCTGTCGGCTCCCACCTTGCCAGGAGCCCTTTCCATCTCCCTCCGCAGCACATCCAATTCGCCGCTGCCCAGGAGATTCTCCTCCCATGTCTTGGCTCCACCTGGATTCAATAGTTGAAAACGCTTCAAGTGAACGAGGTCAGGATTGGTCCTCAGCTGATCACACGCCCTACCACAAAGATGAGCTCGAAGTTGAAGCCCAGGCTGCCCGCTCAGGAACTTTAACAGAGCCTCTGACTTCGTCCCTGTTGCAGCCAAGATGGCTTCTGCAGAGCCCCCCTCAACAACGACCTTCACCAACTTGCCAGCTATGTGACACACCTCACCGCCGTAATTTGCTTCCCCACTTTGAATCCAGTCACCTTTCTGGAAAGCCCCCACTGGGAAATCAGCTGCCACTACCAACTCACCGGCTTTGTATTTCCTCACAGCCTCCTCAGGAGAAATTGGGGGGTCTCCCTCTTCAGCGGGAGCCCTCTCCACTCTAGCTGCCGGTCTCCTACGCCCAGGAGCCGATGCAGGAGCCGCTGCCGGTCTCCTCCTCATCCACGGTAGGGAGTGCCAAAGTGCTGAACCCTAGCGTCTTTTCGTGCAGGGTCCGTGCCGTATTGCCTGATGTCCCAATTCCTCAAACGCCGGTTCACCCCTTTGCTACGCCGTTCAAAATAAGGTGTCTGGAAAATTCCAGGCGGAGGACCGGGAGGCCCCCAGCTATAGACCAATGTAGGGGGGCGAGAAGGTTCTGCAGGCCTACGGGAGTCCTTGTGCTCCCTCCCAATTGCAGGCCTAGACCGTGATGCCCGGGAGCTCCTCCGACGACGGGAGCGTGACCTTCTTCTTCTCCCACTGCTCCCTCTCTGTCGCTGGCCGCTTCTCACCCGGGAGCGACTACGTCTCCCACCCTCAGATGCTCTCTCACTACGTCTTGGACTTCTCTCCCTCACCTCGGGAGCACGACGCGAAGAAGACGTTGCCCCACCTCCTTGGGACAAACTCCTCCTTTCGACTTCTTCCACTCCCACTGCCTCGGGAGTTGTATCCGCCAAGCTCTCCTCTTTTTCTTCTGCCCTCTTTGCGCGGGATTCAGCAGCTGTCACGGGAGAGGCGACCTCGTCCCCAATTTCAGCTGTACTTGGTTTCTCACGCTCTCTCTTCCTCTCCCGCTTCTTCCTTTTCTTCTCTTTGCTTTCCTTCTTGTCCTTCTTTTCTTTCTTGCTGTCCTTGTGGTGATGCCGGTCCTTACTCTTAGCCCGCTCAGGGGTCTCCTTCCCTTCCAATGCCACTTGATGCCGCTGGTTGGTGTCCTCACTATCTTCCTTTCCCGGTGCTGCTTCCCCAGGAGCGGTTTCCTCAGTGAGTAAAGATGCCTCTCCCACTCCTGGCACCCCGGGAGCTGCCACTCCCACTGTTGCACCAGGTACTCCCTCTATCTCGGGAGCAAAGGGGATGCCTTCAGCAAGATCCTGAAGCTCCCCGTAAAAAATCCTTATCCGCCTCAAAGCCTCTACTCTGAAGCTAGTCACTCGATCCTGCTCCACCAAGAGTGACCACACTCGGCTCCAGGCAGCTTTTAATTGGGGCCCGACTGATGAATCAACGGGCCCTTCGCTCATGCCACCCTTAAGCCGAAACTGAAGACATGGACAAAAATTTCTTAGGCATCGTTCGTCTATTTCTCCGAGGACGTAAAAACATATGTATATATATATATATGTATGTATATATATATATATATATGTATATATATATATACATATATATACACAATATTACACAAAAAAAACACATTTAGATACATATACTGTATATGTATATAAACATGTGCATACATATACTTTATTTTTCACTATTGTGTACATACAAATGTACGTATCTTCTTGTTTATATTTATGCACATAAATATATTTCTCACTTACGGACACACATATATATATATCACATGTATATATATATATATATCACATGTATATATATATATAATCTATATATATATATGTACATATATACTTATGTTTAGACAACTTAAATTAACTTGGCGGGGAATGTTCCATTGCACTTTCTCAAACAATTGGCCAAAGCTTGCGACGCTCGCTGAGAATGGCACAAGAACAAAAGAGCACAAGGCGCTCTTTGAATTTCATGGAGATCTGGTGATATTTCATGTGAAATCCCATGGGAATTGTGAGGCCCCCAAGATATCTAAGTTGGTTTATAACTCCAATAACTATAGTTTATGGTACTTATAACTATAGTTACTGGGGCGAATCTAAACCAACGTTCACATCACAACGGGGGGCCTCACATTGTACCCTCCAGTGTCATCATTGCCATTGCTGGAAAAGTGCCGGAACGAAATGAGCGAACTGAAAAATGGGAAATTCATTCGATGAATTTCAAACTTATTACCAGAGGGTATCCTGAGGGAATCGTATGGCCAAAACCCATGGGAATCCCCATGAGGAAATGATCATATGATAGGATTTTACTATACTATTGATATACCACTGATATACATATTATGGGATAATATAAAAATGATATTTTATTTTGACATACTATGTTTGATAATATGACAACATTAAGCAGCAACCCATGGATTTGACATACCGTTTGACATACCAGTTACAGTTCTCATTTTCGAGTGGCGACTCAGTTCATGGGACCATGCCATTCTGACATTTCCATATGGCAGTGTGTCAAAACCTTGTACCCCTGTAGTTCACATCAAAATAGCTGGGTTAAAATGGATGTTCATCCCCGAAAAAAAATGGTATTGTCATAGGTATTGATCCATAGCCATATCATCATCAACCAGCAGGGGGGCTAGAAACAGTGCTCAACTCGACTGTCAGAGTTGCGACTCTTGCCTCACTTGGTCTATATACAGAAAGGATATGTTAGAGAAAACCTGGGTTTTTTTCAGCCACCAACATTGAGTTGTATTTTTATAGATATGTATTACATATGTATTTCTTTGAATGTGATATCATTAGCAAATATTGATTGGATAGAGGGGGGAGGAAGATGTATTCATTCACAAACCTTTGCTGGTTGGTGGTTTTTTCACCATCTTGAAAAATGATGGACTTCGTCAATGGGTTTCGGATGACATCCCATATGATTATCCCATATGTTATGGAAAATAAAAAAGTTTGAAACCACCAAGCAGTTTTATATGCATTGACTTGTCTGATGTGAACCGATGGGGAGTTTTCACCACTGTCGTCTCTAGTCTCTAATGTATAAAGGGTGGCAAAAAAACACTGAGACACTGAGACTTGATTTGCTACCCTTTATACATTAGAGATCTCCATATCTTTATGTACATGGGGGATTTAACCATCACTGTCAACAATCCCTTGTCAAAAAAATATCTCCGTATCTTTAATGGCTAAATCCCCTATGCATAACCAATCAACTGGTGATTTGGCACAGCTGATCTCTATGCACTTGGGCAACGGATTTCATCCACAGAAACCCCGTTTGTGGTCGAAGCATTGCCACGCTCAAAGCTAATTCTCATGGTTATCGTAAATCATCGAAATCGATGGGAAATTTTCGCAAACTTTCAGTTTCTGGGGGGTTTAGTAACCCCTTGGTCCACGTTCAACCCAAAAACTACGATTTAAATCTTTACTTCCTAAGGTCTTATTTATTTAAAATCTTCCCTTAAAGATTTTCGAGAGTTTCATTCCAGGGAATCAGCATCAATGGTTCCACATGCCGCTTTCCCATCACAACTTTTCATCGACCAGCTGACTATTCGGCTGGATATATTCCCAGTGCCGTGGCTTTCAGTACCATCCATTCTAGCCATAAGGTTTTTTGTTTACCCTCTGGTAAATTAACATCGCTATTGAAAATGGCCATAGAAATAGTGGGTTTACCCATTAGAAATGATGATCTTCCATAGTTATGTAACAGTTTACCAGAGGGTACATGACTCCCCAAATCAATTAATATGACCAGGAAATGGTTGATTCCCACAAAAAGACCAGAAAAAAATTCTATGGAATATCTGGGTCATTAAATGTCCCCATTTTTCACATCACCCAACCATTAGGTATATGGTCTACTAGATGGCTACTTTTTTAGGTGATGTCCAATCTTCCCAAAATGGGACATTTACCAACCCATGGAATATCTGGGATATCAATGATTTCCAGGTTCCAAACCCAGGATGGTCATCCCACGTCCTTCACGCCCCGCTGTCCCTCGGATCAACTGTTTTTCCCGACTTCGGCTGCGTCCTGGATGTCGGATGGATCTGAAAAAAAAAACAAAAAAAGACACCATCCCCCAGTCATCCATAAAATCAAGAAGGTGCTATAAATTTTCCATTCCCAGTCATGGACTGTAAAAATGTCATTGTTTTTACCCACATTTTTCAGTGGAAAACTTGGATTGTGACCTCCTTTCTATCTTTTTAGGATCGGCAAAAAAGAGTCTACAGGAAATTGCCACGTTTTTTTTCTCATAGAGTCATACTGAAAACCATAATTTGTGTGCGTCAACTCAGCTATCTCAAGTGGATGAAATCCCCCCATCGCTGGTGGAACCCCCATTTTGGAGGGATTTCCTATGGCTTTTGGTGGCTTTTGCCATGGGTTTTAGCTGGAACAAATCCCCTGGATGAAATCCCCTTGTCAAGGCCGCACCTGGACGTTGAGTTCGTTGAGTTGGACTTGGTGGACTTCTGGGGGCCTGGGCGGCATGAAGAATGATGATCATGATTTTTCATGGTAGTAATATTCTATGATATTATGATAGAATATTACCATATTACCATATGATATGAAGAATATAATATTTCTATGATTGCTATTAAGAAAGTACTATCATGATCAGAATCATTACTCTATATCATATTATGATTGAGTAATGATAGTAATGATCACCGGTTCAAAACCGGTGATTGCTAACAATTATGATGCCAATAATAGCAGTTATTAAATAAATCATTCGTCAGAACAATAATAATAATAACTATTACTGTTATTACTATTAGTATTGTTCCAGAACATACAAAACCACAATTAGCATCAAGAAGAAGAAGAAGAAAAATGGAATAATGCAAAAAAAAGTTAAGGTGGTAGTAGTAGTAGTAGTAGCAGCAGCAGTAGTAGTAGTAGTAGCAGTAGTAGCAGCAGCAGCAGTAGTAGTAGCAGCATCAGTAAAAAATAATAATAGTAGTAGTAGTAGTGGTCGTAGTAGTAGTAGTAGTAGTCGTAGTAGTAGTAGTAGTCGTCGTAGTAGTAGTAGTAGTAATCCACCCCCCCCAAAAAAAAGTCATCATCATCATCATAATCATAATAAACACAATATTCCAAGAATAATGATAGGTATTGCTAGAATATAAATATTTATCTAGATTGCCAACCATTCCCAACATACTACAATCATTGATAAGAAGAAGAATGGTAATAGCAATAAGAATGACGAATGACAACAATAGTAGCAATCATGATAACTATACTAACAATAATGGCAATCATATAAACCATAATCATCATCACAATGATCATAATAAATAGTCGTTAATAGTAGTATCTGCAATTCCCCTAAAACAAGTTCATGCTGACAATTTAGCTGTGGTGGTTTATGTCACACCTCGCCCACCGGTCATCGTGCGGAACGCGGAATGTGTCCCAAGGATTGCCAGAGAGGAGCGATCAAAGGGTGTTGATACCTCCTAAAAAAGACATAATATATATATATATATATACACTCTGGTTGTTTAACATAGCCATGGAAAATAAGCCATTTATAGATGAATTATGATGACTTACCGATTAAAAATGATGATTTTCCACGGCTACGCTAAATAACCAGAGGGTAATTGGACAGCAAACAGACATGTTGCACAACATCAAGTCCGTATGCAAAAAATGTGCAAGAGAAGTATTTTTTCGTCGCGCAACATCCAAAAACGGTGTACAAGAATTGTAATGGGAGATTCTCCTAAAGATACTTGGAATGTGGATACTATTTTGACTATTAGCAAAGTACTATTATGGATCTTCATACTTGTGCAAGATCAAGTACTATTTTCCTAAAAATCTGTACAAGTATGAAAGTACCATTTTGAAGATACTCGGGATCTAACCATAGATGAGAAGTGCGTTGGTGTTGCGTTTAGTGGGAAGTCCACTTCACAGATTATTGTATCACCATCAGTTGATAGAAAGGGAAGGTGAATTGTCATAGCTCCCCCCCAAAAAAAGAAACCACTGGGGTGTTTAAAACTGCTCAGTCGAAAAGATCCTTCAACCAACCATTCCACCTCCCCATTGTCAGCTAAATGGGCAGTCGGGATCATCATTGATCATCCCCGGCTTGAAAATATGCGAAAAACCTTCCCTTTCATAGCAATGATTCAGGCACACATCTATTTAGCCATGAAAACATTAACCAATATGGCCTAGAGCTTATTTACAAAATAGGCTGAACCATGTTAATTTCTTCAAGACTAAGCTGTTTCTTCGTCAGCCCCAATCCAAATTCCGATTTGAGCGATCTGATCCGTGCCAACCAAACCCCAACACGATGTCTGACTTTATGTTTGGATTTGCTGAAGGAACCCAAAATACATATGTACGTGTATATATATATACATACAAACACACACATATATATACATATATATATACATATATATATATATTTGTATATATATATATATTTGTATATATATATTTGCATATATATATATATATATTTATGTATATATATATATTTATATTTGTATATATATATTTATATTTGTATATATATATATTGCCTACAGATTCCAAGTAGTGGATTTTCCATTGAGAAAACAAAAAGTCATCGACTCCAGGCTTGCCATCTGAGAATCTGAAAATGATGGGAACCCCGCAGGAACCATGGCATCGTTGATCTTGTTGTTGTTGTTGTCCCACTGCTAAGGTGAGATAATATTGGGTATACCATGGAACACAGTAATATGAGCACAACCGAAATCAACAAACGAAATCAACCAAAATTATAAGAACACACACAACGATGAACAGTGAACCGAAACACATGCAAGAAACGTATCTAGGGGAAAGTTATAGTTTAGGTATTCTAATTTCATATGATATTGAGTTGATGTTGTTGTTCCCCATATCCATTGCGAATATGAGATAATATCCTTGCCAATCTTAGATACCCTGTAAGAAATGACAAATTCTTAGCTAATGAACGTAGATATTCCGAACTTTATGAGATTCAAGGACTAGTTTCTACCCATCCAGTTGGTTGACCCAGATAAAAGATATTTTTTTTGCGGAAAGCCCCCCAGGAACCTACATGGCCCGGCCCGTATGATATCAAGAATCCAAAATGCGATTTCCCATTTTTTGCTTCACCATTTCCAATGAATTTTGGGCAACTTGATGAACATTCACCGTGTTGCGAACAAAAAAGCCTTGCCCCCATCCGTCCACGCCTGCGTTGCAGCATCTAAGGGGCTGTACCTTGCTTTGCTTCCGTCGACACGTGTGAAGCTGAAGAAAGGCAGTGGAGCGTAGGGCGGAAAGGAACTCCTCAACGGTGGCGCTTGGGCGGAATTGATTTTCCACGGGGTCATGCCCACTGATGTTCTTTTGGTGTAGAATCTAACATCATCTAACTATAGTTATATCATTTTATATCCAGGATCCACTATAAACACAGTAAACCTAGTCATAAACCACTTTTCAGGGAAAGTGACTAGAAAACAACCGAAAATCATGTCTTTTGCCCACAGATCTAGGGTTCAAACCTCTAAGTTTCCTACCAATTCGGGGATGAAAAATGGAAGAGAATCCCAGTTGCCGGTGGTCAATGATCCAAAATATGACTGTGGGATAATAATTACCAACCATACATTATGATCCCTAAAATATGTTTGGTTGCTCTATGTTTGATTTTTCTCATACATTTGTAGGTATCCTAACTTACGGGCCAAGGGGGTGCCTTGAAATCATGCGTTTTTCGACCATGACTTAGTACTGAAACCTATGGTGACTTAGGGATCCCCTATTTCAAGAAACCCCTATTTTGATCCCGCAGACGTATATTTATGTGTATATATATATATATATTTATACATGTGTATATATATATATACATGTGTATATATATATACATATGTATATTTATATACATGCGTATATATAGATATACACGTATGTATATATAGATATACACATATGTATGTATATATATATATATGTATGTCTGTCTGTCTGTCTGTCTGTATGTTATGTATGTATGTATGTATGTATATGTATATGTATATGTATATGTATATGTATATGTATATGTATATGTATATGTATATGTATATGTATATGTATGTGTATGTGTATGTGTATGTGTATGTGTATGTGTATGTGTATGTGTATGCGTATGCGTATGTGTATGTGTATGTGTATGTGTATGTGTATGTTTGTGTATATGTATATGTATATGTATATGTATATGTTTATGTATGTATATATATATATCAAGATCATACATTATGATTCATGATCGTGGGATCATGATCATGCAAAATGGTTTGCGAGTGGTCATGTATCAAGGTGATTCAACCACTTTTGCCGGGTATCCAATTTTTTGTGGTCAAAACCCTACCTTCACATCCCAACAGACATCAACAAACAGCAGCAATGTTCCCAGTTCCCACCCACGCAGTCCTGTTTTTTTCATCCACTTCCAAGTGGCAACTCTGGATGCCACATCCAACCAAGTGCTCGCGAATATGATCCGGTGCCCCTGCGACCACCTTGTGCCATGGTCGCCCATTCAGGTTGATACGGGCCACGCCTCCTGCAGAGGCTTTCCGTCGAAGTCAGGGACCACGACTTAGTCTTCAAAATATGCAAACCCGTGATGACTGGGGGATCCCCATGACTTAAGAAGCACCAAAATGTGGTGAAAAACGGGGTGAATTCTCCATTGGGGGGTCCCTGTGCATCCCAACCAGGCGGGGCGCGGCAACCCTCTCCTTGACCCCTGAGCAACCGCAGCATGTTCTGTCTACTGAGGTCCAAAATGCGGCAAACCACCTAGCGGCAGGTGTCGAACATGGGGAAATCCCTCATCAATGGGCATTTCAATGCAGAAAAATCATCTATAATGATGGATTTCCAGCGCCAGAGAGTATCCCCGGTGTGTTTCAAAATCATGGGGTTGGTCATTCAAGGGCGACAGCACTGTTCGCACAGGGTGCCGCAGTTCTGTGAATTCGATTGGGTCGTTGGTAGATCGATTCCTCGATTCCATGGGGCTGAAATTTCACCTAAACCTAATTTCTTAGCAGATCACATTGATCACATTTATAATATATATATATATATAATATTACAATTGGGCACCAGCTTCTAGCAGAGTCCAGCAATTTTCACCCTTTCGCACCTGAGCAGAGAAGGATTCTCCTCGAATCCGACAACTTTCCACCGCTGCGAGGCTGAGAGGTGTAGCCGCAGGTCCTCCAGGTCCACCCATCGCCCAGTCGGGAACCTCTTCCCAGGGATCCGTGGGTTCCTGAGGCGCCCCTTTCGAGGTGGGGGAAATGACAAAAATATGATGTGATGAGATATCAGGTTCTGTCAAGTGGGATGACTATAAGTAAATAGTAGTGGTATAGTAATGAGATAATCATGGAATAGTCATGGGATATTATGGGCATTTCAATGCAGAAAAATCATCTATAATGATGGATTTCCAGCGCCAGAGAGTATCCCCGGTGTGTTTCAAAATCATGGGGTTGGTCATTCAAGGGCGACAGCACTGTTCGCACAGGGTGCCGCAGTTCTGTCAATTCGATTGGGTCGGCTGAAATTTCAAACCTAATTTCTTAGCAGATCACATTGATCACATTTATAATATATATATATAATATTACAATTGGGCACCAGCTTCTAGCAGAGTCCAGCAATTTTCACCCTTTCGCACCTGAGCAGAGAAGGATTCTCCTCGAATCCGACAACTTTCCACCGCTGCGAGGCTGAGAGATGTAGCCGCAGGTCCTCCAGGTCCACCCATCGCCCAGTCGGGAACCTCTTTCCACGGATCCGTGGGTTCCTGAGGCGCCCCTTTCGAGGTGGGGGAAATGACAAAAATATGATGTGATGAGATATCAGGTTCTGTCAAGTGGGATCACTATAAGTAAATAGTAGTGGTATAGTAATGAGATAATCATGGAATAGTCATGGGATATTATGGGCATTTCAATGCAGAAAAATCATCTATAATGATGGATTTCCAGCGCCAGAGAGTATCCCCGGTGTGTTTCAAAATCATGGGGTTGGTCATTCAAGGGCGACAGCACTGTTCGCACAGGGTGCCGCAGTTCTGTGAATTCAATTGGGTCGTTGGTAGATCGATTCCTCGATTCCATGGGGCTGAAATTTCACCTAAACCTAATTTCTTAGCAGATCACATTGATCACATTTATAATATATATATATATATATAATATTACAATTGGGCACCAGCTTCTAGCAGAGTCCAGCAATTTTCACCCTTTCGCACCTGAGCAGAGAAGGATTCTCCTCGAATCCGACAACTTTCCACCGCTGCGAGGCTGAGAGATGTAGCCGCAGGTCCTCCAGGTCCACCCATCGCCCAGTCGGGAACCTCTTCCCAGGGATCCGTGGGTTCCTGAGGCGCCCCTTTCGAGGTGGGGGAAATGACAAAAATATGATGTGATGAGATATCAGGTTCTGTCAAGTGGGATCATTATAAGTAAATAGTCGAATTCATCCCACATCTATATATCTCATTAAATCACCATTCATAACACGATCCTATCCCGTTAAATATGTATGTATGTATGCATGCATGCATGCATGCATGCATGTATGTATATATATATATGTATGTATGTATGTATATATGTATGTATGTATGTATGTATGTATGTATGTATGTATGTATGTATGTATGTATGTATGTATGTATGTATGTATGTATATATGTATATGTATGTATATGTATGTATGTGTATATATATATATATACATATGGGGGTTTCCTAAAATGGTGGTATCCAAAAATCATCCAAGTCATGGATGACCATGACTTAGTATTAAAACAAACATGGTGACTTGGGGATCCCCCGCATTTCAAGAAACATTTTTGTGGCTGTGTCTGAAAATAAGGGCTACCCAAAATTTCTCGCTTCAATATGGAAAATCATGATGATATTATCGAAGGAAGTTTAGAAGTCAAACTTCCGACAAAATGAACAGATGAAAAGCAGAGCAGGGCAGAGGCAGAGAGAAGAGAAAGATTAGAAGAGAGAAGATCAAAAAAGAGAAAGTCTCAGTAGAAAGAAGATGCAGGTAAGCGAAAAGGTAGGAAAGTCGCGAGACACTGTGTTTTTCCAATGAATTGTGGCTCCGGAGGGTCGAAAAGTAGGCTCGCTAAAGCGGCGGGTGCGGGGCCAGCTGGCCAGATGACAGATGAAAAGTTGCACGCCGTTGTGGCGCGAATCACATTTCCAAGTCAAAAAGTACAAAGCACCTCAGCTTCGGACCACTTTTGGAAGTTGAGATGTCGAAAAAGTGCACGCCGTTGTGGCGCGAAGCACATTTCCAAGTCAAAATGTACAAAACACACCATTGTCGGACCACTTTTGCAAGTTGAGATGTCGAAAAAGTGCACGGCGTTGTGGCACGGAGCACATTTCGAAGTCAAAATGTTAAAAACACTAGGGTTCGGACCACTTTTGGAGGTCCAGATGTCGCTTCGCGTGGCAGGCGCAAGGGATTGTGCACCTTGTCAAAAGTGAGCAAAACGTGCGGGTATTGTAGCATTTTCAACTACAACCACCACTACACCACACTACACTCCAATACACTACACTCAATTACACTCAATTACGGTACACTACATTACACTACACTACACTCCACTACACTACGCTGCATGACACTACACTACACTCCACTACACTACGCTGCATTACACTACGCTACACTACCTTCCACTACACTACTACACTACACTACATTACACTACGCTACCTTCCTCTACACTTCACTACATTACACTACACTACACTCCACAACACTACAACTACAACTACACAACTACACTCCACTACACTAAATTACACTCCACTACACTAAATTACACTACACTACACTACATTACACTACACTACACTCCACTACACTACACTACATTACACTACACGACACTACCTTCCACTACACTACACTGCATGACACTACACTACACTCCACTACACTACACTACATTACACTACACAACACTACCTTCCACTACACTTCACTACATTACATTACACTACAACTACAACTACACACTACACTCCACTACACTCCACTACACTCCACTACACTCCACTACAGTAAATTACACTATACTACACTACATTACACTACACTACACTACACTACATTACACCACACTACACTACATTGCACTACACTACATTACACTGAATGACACTGCACCACAGATAGACAGGTAGACAGATAGACAGATAGATAGATAGACAGATAGACAGATAGACAGATGAAAGAGACAGGGAGAGAGAGAGATAGAGAGATAGAGAGATAGAGAGATAGAGAGAGAGAGATAGATAGATAGATAGATAGATAGATAGATAGATATAGTTAGATATAGTTAGATATAGTTAGATATAGATAGGTAGATAGATAGATAGATAGGTAGATAGATAGATAGATACATACATATATAGGTAGATAGATAGATAGATAGATAGACAGATAGACAGACAGACAGATAGATAGATAGATAGATAGGTAGATAGATAGATAGATAGGGAGATAGATAGACACACAGACAGATAGATAGATAGGTAGACAGATAGATCAGTAGGTAGGTAGGTAGATAATCAGAGAAAGATAGAGAAACAGAGAGAAAAAGAGAGAAAGAGAGAGAAAGAGAGGAGACCTCAAGCACCTTTCGGTCCATCAGTAGCTTCGCTCTGCCATCCCTGATTCACAACAACCAACCTCTCCTATAGGTTTCCTATTTTTGAAACTTCCGCCACCGCCTTGTGCGGTACTACTGGTATAACGATCAATTTGGAGCTACCCCATGTTCAGAAAAAGCTATGTATAATATACATTCACAATAATTACCAACGACTAGATTCACACTAATTATCAACCACTGGTACAAAAATTCAGCTATGTTTGGCAAATGATCATATCCCAAACAAAAAAAAACACATTTAAAAAAACTATGGCACAAGGATCCGGATCTGGATCAGGCTCCGGATCGGCTCTGGCGTCCTCTAGTGCAGCCATGGCGTTTTGCATCTCCTTCTGCGCGGAGTGGTGCTTCTGGTCGTCACAGCCATCGCCCAAGGCCCGTGCATTTTGGAAGCTTTCCAGTAAACCTGAGATTTTTAAACCCTAAATTGTTCCATGGGTTTTTTTCCCCACCATTTTGGAAGCTTTCCCAAGGCTCGAAATTTTCAAACCCGAGATTTTTCAAAAAAAAAATCGGTGGAAAAAAAAACCATGGGTTCCATGACGGAACCTTGGGAACTTGATGAAAAATCATTGAAACCTTGATGAACATCGTTGATTTAACCGAAGAACTTGGCGCTTCAAATGGCTTACGAAATGATCTTCACCTACCAGAAATCTAAGCTGCTATACCTATTCTATCCCATGATCTTCCCTTCCTATACCGTTTTTTCTGGAGAAAAAAATGAAAATCTCTAAATCTCTGCACGAAATGATCACCATACAAGGCCTCCAAAAGTCTCAGCAAATCGCCAGAATTTCTCACCAAAAAGCTGCAAAAATGGCCCAAAAAATTCTCCGCAAATCTCAGCAACCACAGAGCTGCACCCTACTCTTCTTCACCTCCCCGTCTCGGGTCAAATGCGCCAGGGCTAAGCCCAACCTCGCAGCGCGAGTGTAGCGCTTATTTCGGCTGCCCACCCCGATAGCACAGCGGTTCTTCAGGGTCACGAAGACCCATTGGAGTCCTTGGCAAACGTTGGGGGAATTTGAGCAGAAAAAACATCGAAAACTCACTGGTGAAGCAAGAAAAATGGTGATTTAGGGAGGAAAGATGGCATGTTTTTGGGATATTTTGGGTTGAAGCCATCCTAAAATGATGGTATTCCAGCAAGAAAAATCGGGATTTCAATAATAAACATGGTGGTGCCATGGGGGATATTCCATGAGCATGTAAGCCAGGGTAATGGAAGTATTCATGGCTCACTGGATTGGTTTAAGGGAAAATTTACAGGAAACCCATGGGTTTTTACCATCAAATATAGGGCTTTCCTGTAAATTTTCCCATCATCCAATTCTATGAATGGTATATTGTGGGAGACTTTTGGATATGAATGGGATATTACTGGGATGATGTGGGAAATTAGAGGCATTTTTGGGGATATTACGTGGTACAATGGGATCGCGGCGGTATGATAATGGTATGATACTGGGATAGTATGTGGTGTAGTGGGAAATGTTAAGATCTCCAAAAACCTGGTTTGAGGTCACAAAAAAGCCCTTGAAATGGACCCCAAAATGGTCACAACTTGAACTGCCAGGGAAAATAGATTGAATGTTATGGAATATTATGTGTTAGAGGGGAATACTCTGGAATTTCTACCTCAAATCAGCCATGATGTTTGAAAAAATTGCGCAGATCTTTCAGGGATTTACAGCTGATCTGGGATACTCAGATGTTTTCTTGGCTGAGTATCTTATTCTCACATTTTGGTGTTAAAATTTAAAATGGGGGATCCCATAGTAAAACGGTGCCAATCCTAAGTCATGGTCTATCGACGATGATTTCAGGCTACCCCCAAGGACCTCACGGAAACCTTGCGGAAAGGTCATAAAGTATCTTGCTGAACTTACCCTCTGGTAAACATACAAAAAGCTATGGAAAATGGCCATAGAAATAGTGGATATACCCATTAAAAATAGTGGATCTTTCCATAGTTATGTAACAGTTTACCAAAGGGTATAGTCACCAACTCTGATTGATTCGTACGCACCCTATCCTAACGATCACCTTTTTTTTTGTTCAAAAAACAACACGACGTCGAAGACTTCGGCCGGAAAATCTCCAGATTAGTTTTGTTGGATTAACCCACCGGTGAACATCATGGCGGAAATCCTTCACTGTATAGGTACCCGTATAGTTACTGAGAAATGTACAAAAATCCATAGTGATAAACCCCCAAAAAAAAGTAAATGGGAAGATCATCACCAAAGCAACCACCAGCAAACTCTTTCTGGCATTCAACCCCAGCTTGAAAAAAAAGACAAGATGGAAGCCACGAACCCGAATGTAATCACGTTCTTGGGCTACGATTCCAAATCCCTGCAATAGGAAAACGAACCTTTGTTTGCATGCATCGTGCGGTTCACAAAGAGACAACTAACCAGCACAACAACATCACCACAAGCACAACGAAATCACAACCAGCACAACAATATCACCAGCGCAATGAAATCACAACAATATCAACAACACAACAGCATCACCAGCACAGCAACATCACCAGCACAACGAGATCACCACCACCTGCCACACTCCACACTCCGCACACTACACTTTACACTCCACACTCCACACTCTACACTTTACACTCTACACTTAACTTGACACTCTACACTTCACACTCGACACTTTCCGCTCCGCACTCCACACTCTACACTTTATACTCCAGGCTCCACACTTTACACTTTACACTCCTCACTCCTCACTCCACGCTCTACGCTCTACACTCCACACTCCACCACACTCAACACTCTACACCCACCACACTCCTCACTCCACACTCCACACTTTACATTCCACACGCCACACTTTACACTCCACACTCGCCACTTTCACTTCCACACTCCACACTCTACAGTTTACACTCCACACTTTACACTTTACACTCCTCACTCCACACTCAACACTTTACACTCCACACTCCTCAATCCTCACTCCACACACTACACTCCACACTCCACATGCCACACTCCACCACATTCTACACTCTACACACACACCACACTCCTCACTCCATACTCCACACTTTACACTCCACACGCCATACTTTACACTCCACACTTTACACTCCACACTCCACACTTAGCACTCCACACTCTACACTACACTATACACTCCACACTCCACACTCTACACTTTACACTCTTACTTTTTACAATCTACACTACACATTCCACACACTACACGCTCTACACTCCCCACTCCACACTATACAAAGCACTTCCCAGTACTACTTTGTACTGCAAAGCTTGCACAGACTACTTCCCAGTACTTTGTACTACACAGCTTGCACAAAGCACTTCCCAGTACTACTGTGTACTACACAGCTTGCACAAAGCACTTCCCAGTACTACTGTGTACTACACAGCTTGCACAAACTACTTCCCAGTACCACTTCGTACTACAAAGCTTGCACGAAACCGTTCCCAGTACTACTGTGTACTACAAAGCTTGCACAAAGCACTTCCCAGTACTACTTTGTACTACAAGGCTTGCAAAGCCGTTCCCAGTACTACTGTGTACTACAAAGCTTGCAACAACTACTTCCCAGTACTACTTTGTACTACAAGACTTTCAAAGTCGTTCCCAGTACTACTTTGTACTACAAAGCATGCACAAAGCACTTCCCAGTACTACTTTGTACTACAAAGCTTGCACAAACTACTTCCCAGTACTACTGTGTACTACAAAGCTTGCACAAACTACTTCCCAGTACTACTGTGTACTGCAAAACTTGCACAAAGCACTTCCCAGTACTACTGTGTACTACAAAGCTTGCACAAAGTCGTTCGCAGTACTACTTTGTACTACAAAGCTTGCACAAAGCCGTTCGCAGTACTACTTTGTACTACAAAGCTTGCACAAAGTCGTTCCCAGTACTACTGTGTACTACAAAGCTTGCACAAAGCACTTCCCAGTACTACTGTGTACTACAAAGCTCGCACAAAACACTTCCCAGTACTACTTTGTACTACAAAGGTCGCACAAAGCACTTCCCAGTACTACTGTGTACTACAAAACTTTCACAAACACGTTCCAGTACTACTGTGTACTACAAAGCTCGCACAAACTACTTCCCAGTACTACTGTGTACTACAAAGCTCGCACAAAGCACTTCCCAGTACTACTTTGCACTACAAAGCTTGCAGCAAGCACTTCCCAGTACTACTGTGTACTACAAAACTCGCACAAACACGTTCCCAGTACTACTGTGTACTACACAGCTTGCACAAACTACTTCCCAGTACCACTTTGTAAGCACTTCCCAGTACTACTGTGTACTACAAAACTTGCACAAAGCCGTTCCCAGCACTACTGTGTACTACAAGGCTTGCAAAGTCGTTCCCAGTACTACTGTGTACTACAAAGCTTGCAACAACTACTTCCCAGTACTACTTTGTACTACAAAGCTTGCACAAACTACTTCCCAGTACTACTTTGTACTACAAAGCTTGCACAAAGTCGTTCCCAGTACTACTGTGTACTACAAAGCTTGCACAAAGCACTTCCCAGTACTACTGTGTACTACAAAGCTTGCACAAAGCACTTCCCAGTACTACTTTGTACTACAAAGCTTGCACGAAGTCGTTCCAGTACTACTGTGTACTACAAAGCTCGCACAAACTACTTCCCAGTACTACTGTGTACTGCAAAACTTGCACAAAGCACTTCCCAGTACTACTGTGTACTACAAAGCTCGCACAAACACGTTCCAGTACTACTGTGTACTACAAACTTGCACAAACAGGTTCCAGTACTACTGTGTACTACAAAGCTCGCACAAACACGTTCCAGTACTACTGTGTACTACAAAGCTCGCACAAACTACTTCCCAGTACCACTTTGTACTACAAAGCTTGCACGAAACACTTCCCAGTACCACTTTGTACTACAAAGCTTGCACAAAGCACTTCTCAGTACTACTTTGCACTACAAAGCTTGCAGAAAGCGCTTCCCAGTACTACTGTGTACTACAAAGCTCGCACAAACACGTTCCCAGTACTACTGTGTACTACACAGCTTGCACAAACTACTTCCCAGTACCACTTTGTACTACAAAGCTTGCACAAAGTCGTTCGCAGTACTACTTTGTACTACAAAGCTTGCACAAAGTCGTTCCCAGTACTACTTTGTACTACAAAGCTTGCACAAAGTCGTTCCCAGTACTACTGTGTACTACAAAGCTTGCACAAAGCACTTCCCAGTACTACTGTGTACTACAAAGCTTGCACAAACTACTTCCCAGTACTACTGTGTACTACAAAGCTTGCACAAAGTCGTTCCAGTACTAATGTGTACTACAAAGCTTGCACAAAGTCGTTCCCAGTACTACTGTGTACTACAAAGCTTGCACAAACTACTTCCCAGTACTACTGTGTACTACAAAGCTTGCACAAACTACTTCCCAGTACTACTGTGTACTACAAAGCTTGCACAAAGCCGTTCCCAGCACTACTGTGTACTACAAAGCTTGCACAAAGCACTTCCCAGTACTATTGTGTACTACACATGCACAAACACGTTCCAGTACTACTGTGTACCACACATGCACAAACACGTTCCAGTACTACTGTGTACTACAAAGCTCGCACAAACACGTTCCCAGTACTACTGTGTACTACAAAGCTCGCACAAAGCACTTCCCAGTACTACTTTGTATTACAAAGCTTGCACAAAGCACTTCCCAGCACTACTGTGTACTACAAAACTTGCACAAAGCACTTCCCAGTACTACTGTGTACTACAAGGCTTGCAAAGTCGTTCCCAGTACTACTGTGTACTACAAAACTTGCACAAAGCACTTCCCAGTACTACTGTGTACTACAAAGCTCGCACAAACGCGTTCCAGTACTACTGTGTACTACAAAACTTGCACAAATACGTTCCAGTACTGCTGTGTACTACAAAACTTGCACAAACACGTTCCTGTACTCTGGTTTACTACAAATCTCGAGCACAACACTT